TAGCAATAGATTAAATATAAAATATAAGCATATTATGTTAATATAAAGTAAAATATAAAGTGTATAAATAAATCTAAAACTACGTTATGGGCTAAATTTTGTCTTAACCTCTCGTATCTCAGAATGAGAGTATATTTGAAGATTGATAAAATGATAATAGGTTAGAGGGAGGTTGCTAATCTGCTGCCCTATAAAAAGAGGAATTGGGGAACAGTGTACAGAGTGGAGTATGTGGAGACACAGGGGACAGCCATCTACAAGCCTATCAGGGAGCCTCAGCAGAAAGAAACCAGCACAAGCCTTCCTTTCACAATTCCAGCCTCCACTTTAAGAAACCAGCTTTTTGCTGCTGGAGTCTCCCAGTATGCAAGAGTTTGATATGGCAGCCCCAGTCAGCTAATAAACAATACAATATATAGCATGCTATTTTTACAATTCTTACATTTTACATTTATTAATAATCTTGTTCATCATTTTGCACCTCATGCCTAGCACAATATTTTTCCCATAGAAAATGCTAAAAAAATATGAGTATAATAAATTAATTCTGCTGGGCATGGTGGTGCATGCCTGTAATCCCAGGTCTCAGGAGATTAAGGCAGGAGGTAAAATGTTTAGTGAAAATATTCTGGAAAAATAACTATACAAATTTCTCTTAGAGCATTCTTTTGGACAACTTGCCCAATAACTTCAACAAATTAATGCCACAAAAAAGGTGGAATACAGATGATGTTACAGATTCAAAGGGACAGAAATACAAGACCCAAATAAAATGTAGGGATTTTGACTTTTATCTTCCTTCAAACAAACATTTGTAAAAGATATTTTGCAGACAAATAGAGATATTTGAATGTGAATTTGGTATTGGCAGATATTAGGAAATTAATGACAATTTCTCTAAGTATTACAATGGTCATAGTAAAAGTGCTACTATGTTTTAGATCCAAATTAAATTATTTAAAGGTGAATATCATGATGCAATTATTTTAACTACTTTAAAATACTTTAGAAAAACATATGAAGTAAGTATTGCAAATGTTATTGGTCTTAAACCTCTGTGATGGGTATATAACAATCCATTAAACTATTCTCTCTACTTTTATGTATTTAAAGTTTTTTTGTAATAAAACAAAACTTCTTTTGATGTCACTCTCTCATTCTACAGTCCAGTTTCTTTGCTCCCTTTTTTAGCAAACTCTTTTTAAAGAGTTCATTAGTCACTGACTCTAGTTTTTCCAATTCCATTTAGTCTTAATCTATCTCTAACTGATCCCATGCCCTTTCCACTCCTAAAACTTGTATTTGAAGATCACTAATGACCTCTAAATGCTAATCTAGTGGTGTCAGCGCTCATTTGCTTATCATATTTGAACTATCATCTGACATAGGCGATTCCCTACTCATCACTGACATGCTTCTATTGGCTTCCAGGATACCACTTTGCCTTTGCTTTCCTCCTATTTCACAGGCCATTTCTTCTCTGTATCCTTTGGATCTTCTCCTTGGATTACTATCATTATTTTCTATCTTGTCATGCTGCTTCTACTTTAGTCCTCCACAATTTTTTTTCTTCACAGCAGCCAAAGTTATTAATACACAAAGGCAGATCATCACAATGCTTTGCTAAAAGCCACTGAATGCTACCATTTTACTCATAGAGATAACAATTTTTAAAATTTTTCATTAATCACAAGGCCCACAGAGCCTTTGTTTTAAAAAGGTTTTTATTAGTACATGCTTGCAGTACATAATTGCACCCACCATGGGGAGTTGGTATGTGGACTCAACACATCTCTGCTCTTTTTTACTTCTTCTTCCCACTCCCCTAGTCTCTCGTTCTCTTCTCGAGGCCTTCATTAAGTTGCTCTCTCTTTCTGGGATATTCCAGATAGCTGCATGGATAATGCCCTCACTGGTGTAAGTCTGCTCAGATTTTCCCTTCTCAGCCTCTTGCCGCCCCTTCACCTCACATACACCCTTGCATTTCTGATCTTTTCTGTCCAGTTCTACCCTTTTCCTATCCTACCTAATGCCTTTTATCAGTGATGTATTTTATTAATTATGGTTTTGTTTATTGCCTATCTCCATTCAGTACAATGTAAGCTCCATAAGGAAAGATTTTTATTCCTAGAGTAGTACCTACTACATAGTAGAAATCTACAAATATTTTCTAAATGAATGAATATTGGCCTCGTATTTCCATTATTACCCATCTATGTTGAAAAATAAACATGTTAAATACTATATTCACTATTTCCAAAGTCCATTTCCCAAGCAAAGTAGTCCACTGGGTCTAAAATAAATGTAAATAATATGCTTTCATACTTAACATCAAATTCATACTGGTTTCTTTTGTGTGTATGATAAAATGTATTTATTCTTAGTACATGTTTGCAGCATATAATATTTACATTCCTTGGGGGGGAATTGAGACATGTACATAACACATTTATTTCTGAGAGTTTTATATCAGGCTTATACTGACACTTACTTTCCTGTCCTTTTTGCTCAGAAGAACAGAGTCAAAAACAAAAATGAAGCTCACAAGGTGTGGAAAGATTACCCTGGGTGTCTTAATGATGGTGACAGCAGCAGTCATCATTGGACTCATTGTCTATTTTGTCACCTATGGTAAGAACTCTTTATATTTCTTTCTAGTCATACAGATTTGTTGATTCTACCTTGACAAAATTAGGAATTTTGAGAATTGAAGAAGGAAAGAAACCAGAAAAGACTATTTTTATGGTCACAAATACTTACTGCAGTCTTTGTTCTTATTTCTAAAGCTTTATTGAGGTATAATTGACATATGCATAACCAAATGCATGTTTAGCAAACATACCTTAATGGGTTTTGATCTATGTATGTACCTATGATACCCTCATCACAAAGTACTAAACATTTTCATCTTCTTTAAAAAAATTTTTCTTCAAACTTTGTTCTTTAGCAACCATTAAATTAGGGTACCCTAAAATCAGTGATTTGATATTCTTTCATGGTTTTTTTTTTATCCCCTTACAAAGATTTAGATGCTGGGAATACATTGAAGAATAAGGTAGACACAGGTCCTACCTTTTTTGAATTTAACATTAAGGAGATAATAAATCCGTTAACAAATAAATATAAAATCTTAGACTGTGATTTCTTACTCCAAAAGTAAAATTTCTTACTCTAAAGGCTATATTTTTCACTATACAATATTTTTTTCTTATAAAAGTCACCTTAAAATAGACTATTCTCTAATATTTAGGGGTGAAAGCAAAAACCAAGCTGTACTTATTTTTCCTCACATACTTCGCACAAATACAAAGCAATATGGGAGCACTGGATTTAATTTTTCTTAACAGCATCTCTTCATGCCAAGTTATCTGTTTCTTATTTTTACTATTTAACTCATTTTTCCTAGTCTTTTAAATGTCCAGGACATTCTTTTTCCATTCATACTTATTTTTAATTATACATATTTACAGGGCCCACCTGGTGTGTGATAATTTGACATATGAATACAATAGTTAATGATCAAGATAATGATCATTTTCATCACCTTAAATATTTACTATTTCTTTGTTTTATGACTCTTCAAATTCTTCTCCTCCAGTTGTTCTTAAAATATATAAATGTAAAATAAAGTCATCTTACTATGCTATAGAACAATAGAATTTATTTCTCCTATCTAACTATGTTTAGGTATAGGCTTTCCTCTGCCTAATACTCCCCAAACCCCATTCTTCCTAGGCTCTAACAAGCACCGGTCTTCTCTCTGCTTCTGTGTGATCAAATTTTTTATCATCATATATAAGTGAAAACATGCAGTATTATTATTTTATATGACATTTTTATAAGAAAAAATTTTTCTCCATTTTTACAAAAAATGTTATTTGTTAAACAAGAAAATATGTAAAGACTAACAAGAACTGTTAGTGAAATAATATTTTTAAACTATCTTGTATTTAATTACATTGACCTATGCTTGAAAATCAATAATATGAAGATGTGCAAGAATCATTGTTTATTAAATGTACAAGAACAATGTTTGGCATATATATACATACCTTTCCTTGGAATCATCTTCTGCTGCCACAATGCCCTCATCTTATATAATTCTTGGCTCACAGTTTGGGAATGACTGCTTGAAAGGATAGTAATATTTCCTGAAGAAAATGACTACCTATTAAAGAGTATGGCTAGCCAAGTCAACATCCACTTCAGCATAAGAGGGAAAGAACACTGACATGGATGGAAATAGAGAAGGGTGTGCACCATGAGTGCAGAGGCAACCCCTTAGGGAACTCAGGTATGCAGCTGTCTCCCCTTCATTGTCCCTACTCAGTCTTCCACAGTCACATCAATTGTGCAGCATGATCACTACATACCTGTTACTAATGCCAAACCACGAGGTATCATCATAGTCTCTGCTCATAAAACTTTGAATAAGAAGTGCTCATTCAAGGGATAGAAACAGAAACTGCCCTTTTCATCAAGGGTGTAAAGGTGCCAGAAACATGAGAAAAAAATATATTGAAAAGGATATCTTTGAAGAGAAATGTGTTATAATTTTTTCACACTACGATCACCATCTGATATGTGAAGAGCGGATGGTGTTTCTCCCTTCACATCAAGGTGAGAGGTGAACGTCTAAAAGAGATCTGTCAGGCATGGTGGCACATGTCTGGCACTCAGGAGGCTGAGGCTAATCTGGGCTACATAGTGAGTTCAAGACTAGCCTGGGCTATATATTGAGACCCTATCTCAAAAAACTAACTAAACAAATAAATAAGATCAATATGACCCAAGAAGACCCTTGCAGATTGGGTAACACTGAAGGCTGGGGTCTGACTCAAGGCAAGAGCTTGCTGCTTGCTTCCTCAGCAATGTGAGGGGAAGTGATATCCATGAGCAGTTTGAGAATTCAAATTTCAAAAGCTACGCTTAAGTGAAATAAATATAACACGTGTAAATATCGAATAGTTTCTCTGATGTGAGAAACTGAAAGTGTAAATAAGGATCAAAATGTGTAATTGATAATGTGAAATAGGAAGAAAAGGTCCAAAGGTGAAGGGAAGTGGGAGGGCTAGGGGAAAGAAGGGAAAGTAATAAAGATGAGAAAAGGAAAAAAAAGATACAGAGGTAGCCTTATATAGTGATACCTTGGTTCACAAATACTTTTGTTTGCAAACAATTTGTTTCTCAGACAGAAGCATTTGGCAAAATTTTGTTTTTGTTTGAAAACTCTGTATCAGGTGCCAAATATGACCATGGCCATCTTTCCCAAACAAACACAAATGTGGCCACCTTTTCCAGAATCATGAAAGAGTTAAATTAATGAACTGAAGTACCACTGTAATGCTCCTTTTTTTAATGACATTCCCTACATAATTTTTCCTACGGACCACAAATAGCCCACCCAGCTCCATCCGAGAGGCCACCTGGAGGAGTAATCAAAGCTGAAGTTGAAGTAGTAGTAGATGTCTGCAGCTGCCTACATGCCAAGGAAGAGTAAGCTCAAGCTGGAATAGAGATGTATTTGTCCATGACAAGAAACTGTAGTCAAGACATCTCCAGCTATGAGAGGAAAGGGCAGTGTGAATGTCAGAATATAGAGCAGCTTCATAATGCTCCTCTTTTGAATGCTGCTTTTTATATTCCTTACACATTTTTTAGTTCACCACCCTAGACTCCAAACCCTAAGACAATGAGCCATCTCTTCACAATCACTATTCTTTCACTTGGGCCTGTAATTAGTTGCAGAATGATAGTTGAACAAACCAGAGCACAACACAGATTTTTACCCTTGGACATCTACCTTTCTTTGCTTCAGATTACCCTAAACGATGACTCATTACACAGATTGAAATCAACAAGCAATAAATGGGTGACTACTCTCATACCTAAGGCAGGTATCAAGCTAGATGCTTCACAAGGATATAACAGCAATGGAGAAAAGCTACAGTGTTATCCTAGTCCTTGCACTAAAAGCATACATCATCTAGATCAGGATCAGTACATTTTTATCTTAAGAGGTCAGTAAGTATATATTTTCCTCTGTGGGCCATTACAATCTCTAACAAAAGTACTCAGTTCTACTGTTGCCAAGTATCCATAGACATTATGTAAATAAATGAGTACAGCTGTTTTCCAATAAATATTTATGAGAAATAAAATTTGAATGTCACATAATTTTACATTTCACCAAACATTATTCTTCTTTTGATTTTTTTTCAACTTTTCAAAATGAAAAAAACACTCTTTGTTTATGGGCTACCTCAAAACAGACCAGATTTGGCCCATAAGCCATAGTTTGAAAATGTGCTTTTTATATTAGAATCGCAGCTGCTCAGTTAAAAATAACAGATTACGTCAACACAGGAAGAGAGAAGAAAGGAGAGCAAGAAATAATACATACCCGGGGATTTAGCTCAGTGGTGCTGCCACCTGCCTCGCAAGCACAAGGTCCTGAGTTCAATCCCCGGTACAAAAAAAAAAAAAAAACATAGTTTCTTCCCCAGGAAGTTATTACATTGCAGTAGGTTAGTTAGTGAAGAATTGGTAAGGAAATTGACAGATGAGATTGCCTGAAAAGTTTCTAGATATGCATGGAAAAAATCTTTCTTGCTAACTTTCTGTTCCATTTTAAGACAATATTTCAAAATATTTCTGTGCTAATTCTAAAAGAGACTCTTAACACCCCTATAGCAGCTTTACATTCACAAAGTATAAAATGAAAGCAAAAGCATCAGAGTCCAAGCATCGAACAATACCTTCTGCAATTCAAATGTATTCACTTTCTTTCTCACTTTATAACTGAGGGCCAGAATAATATGTGAGTTAACTCCTCTTGGACTGCCTCTTCAGAGCCAACTTCAATAGTAACACTAACAGACTTTTTAAAGAGCCAGCTTTTGACTCATTTGAGGCTCATTTGGGAGAACTTGACCTGGAAAACTACTTTAAACAAATCTTAACTGTAAGTAACAGCAGAAGGCCTGACCAAGCTGAAGGTATGCAAAATGTCCATCTCCTGAGATCAGTGCAGCAAGAATAGGGTGACTGGCTGTCACAGAACCCAAATCTGAGTAAATAAATCAGCCTGTGTGAGAAGCAGCAAGATATGCAACCATGCAGGGACAAATGTGCTGACACTGTGATTAGTTAATTATAAGCCCACACATATGTATGAGTCTAAATAACCACAAAAAGAAAAGGATTCATGCAAATTAAAAATGAAAACAATATTGCTCATACCGTAGGTCAATTGGCTTCCTTTTAGAAAGGAAATCCATTTCCTTGAACAATGATTGTAGATTATTTTAAAGTATTTTATAATCATTATATACTGAAAACATATACTAATAAAAATTAAAATGTTTAAAAGAAATTAAATAAATAAAAATGTAAGGATCTAAATCCTCTGAGAGTGCTGAACCCCTGCCCGCAGTGTGACCTAGATTATTTTAAAATACAACTCTTTTTGGAATAACACTTAAAAGTGATCTAATTTTTTTCTGCTCATAGTCTAGGTTATAGCTGAAGGTAATTAGGACAGTGTGCTAGTTCTTCTGGATGCCAGTAACAGCATTCAACTTATCTCCATCCTTCTAGCACAGTGCTGGGTGCACAAATAGAATAGGAGCTGCAGAATGCTTTACTACTCAGTAGTGTTTAAAATTCACTGGGTAGCTCCCAGAAGCTACCATTACCTAATCCCACTTCCATGTTCCTCATCTCACAATCTAATGTCAAAACTCTGATATTTCTAATAATATAAGTCATGTAGTATTTGTGCAAAGAAATATGTAACAACAAAAATTATACTTTTTGGAATTTTTTTAAATACATTCTCTGACACTGAAACATGATTTTAGTGATGACACATTTTAGTGGTTAATACATAAGTAGGCAACAATTTAATTAATTTACTAGTTTAAGATCTGAGATTATAATTTCTGGTGTTATTTTTTAAAGGTTTTCATATATTTGTGTGCTACTCATTAGACATAAAATAAATTCTGAAAGGAAAATTATTAAATGCACAGACAAGAATATATTTCAGGATTTTGATTATATTACCAAATTGTCCTTCAAATTTTTCTTTGTTTTGGTAATCTTTGCCAACTTAATCCCCCAAATAGTATTTTGTTCCATTTACAGTTACTTTATTTGTATTTGTGAAAGGACATAGATGATTCTGAATGATTAACTACAGCCACTGAGATGAAGAATTTTCTCAGAACATTGCAAAATTTCTTACTTCTACTTTCTCTTTTCTTCTTCCTCTCTCCTTTTTTCTTCTCTTTTCTTCCCTTACCTTTCTTTCTCTTTCTCCCTCTCCCCTCCTCCTTTATTCCACAGAGTAGAGGTATATAAAGGGACCTGAAAAATTTGTAAGAGAAGATATTTCAATCTCTACTAATTTAAATGTATTCAAACAGTACAATCCAACCTAGCCCTCATCCTATTTTCTTAGCTTTGCTTTTCCAAATGTAAAGTTTTATTTCTTTGTTCTGTTTATATAGTGTGCAGTACTTACAAATTATGCCTCATTTCACCTTTTCCTTTACTCATTTTAATTTCCTAGGTATCATAAACAATACATCCTTTATGAGCTTTACTCATTTTTCTATTTAATCTGTGGTTATCACAAAGACTAAGATAATGACTATCTTGCAATGTAATTTCTTTTCATAATAACATATCTGTTTCCAGATTGCCCAGCTTGAAAGCTGGAACATTAAAGTTTTACATTTAGATTTTTAAATACATTTTTAGTAAGGTTAGAATTTCATTAATATTCCTTCATCAAAGTAATTTCAATAACCACCAAGCATCAAGACTGTCTAAATACCAAGTAACCTGAAATTTCCTCTGCATATTCTATTTCACAGGACTTCCATGGAATAAAAATGGTCACATAGTGATTAGTGTGACAATATGTCTTCTTTTCTCTCATTCTCAGAAAAGATACCTTTCTACTATCACATAAGCTTTAAAGTCAACAACATTGACTACAACAGCAAATTTGCAAAGCCATATTCACAAGAATACATGGACCTAAATAAAAAAATCGTATCTTTGGTAAGTTGATATTCTTTTCTGTGTATTGTCCTTTAAACATTAAGTTTCCAGCAGTTACCTTTGAAGTTGGAAACAACCCCTTTCTGTTACCTCAGTTGTAGAATAAGACAGTCACTCCTTTCAGAAAGTCAGTTAGAAAACAAGTGTGGAGAAAAATACTGAAGAAGTTCTACATTTCCAGAACACATATAAAATGCCTGTCACGAGAGATGGTCAATTAATATTTAAAATGCAATAAATTAAATCTATTAAGATTTAGGAGTTAGAAAAATGGAGATAAAAAAATCCGACCTTTCGTTTAGTTTTATGAAGAATAAAAAAGGAAATAACAAGAAAGCATTATTACACTGATTAAGAAAAAGCTTTGGGTTCAACACTCTTGTTCTAAAAGCTGTTTACCAGCTGTATGACCTTAGCTCACTGAACTTCCCCACACCTCAGTTTCTTCAACTAAAAATGAGATCACAAATGCCTATACAATAGGGTGGATGTACATATTAAAATTAAATACAGGGTGAAGTATGATTTAGTAAGTCCTGTTGTTCTATATGTCCTTAAAAATGATATCTAAACATGAATAGTCTAAAATGGGTATGTCATGAATACTCTTACATATGTGACAGAGTTAACATATAACTCTAAAACAATAAAATAGATATACCCCGACTAAGAAATCATCCTTTGTGCTATAAATTCAGACCAATTAATTCAAATAAATTAGCATATTTTCACTACATGATGAATATTCTGGTTAATGATCCCATCTTCCTGGTCAATCAAACACGAATCCTTACATTTTACTTTAGACCCTTCTGGCAGCCCTCATTCCTAGTTTCCAACTTACCTGCTTGAAAACAAGCAACAGATATTTCTCGCACTTTTTTTATTTACTTATGTCACATGCTTTTACATGCCTTTCTGTTTTCATTGAGTACAATGATGCTTCATGTATCATAGTTATTACCACATACAGAAATATTCATAAGTACATCACTGGTGGTAATAAAATGAATCAAATGGAGTTGTGAATCATTAGACAAACTTGGTAGTAATTATTATGATACATACAGCCTATTTTTTTTATTCTGATATCCACTATATAATTCTTGTGATGATTTACCCTAAATAGAGAAAAAAATTGGATCAAAAGAGACTCTATCTTACTATAAATGGCAATTTTTAACTAAAAAGAATAGTCCTTATAGGAAACATGTCCATAGTTTTGACATGTGGTTTGCAGGTGTGCAATTGAAGAAATCTCTATGCCTTCTTTCTTTTTTCTTTTCTTTTTTCCATCCTTTCAATAGATACAGCACTAATTAAATTGAATATAAATTCTAAAGAGAAATTCTAAATTCTAGGAGAAGGGCAAGGCTTTAACCACAATAATTAATAATTTTCAGTATGGTCTAAACATTTTACATTTTAATATTTAATCTTCACAGCATCCTCATTTTTCATATGAACAAACAGAAGAACTAAAAGTTAATTTACCTAAAGTCAGTCATACTTTCCTGTATACTCCCACTCTATGACTTTTTGTCCTTTAATTAAAGAGCACACAGATATAAAATCATGAGCACAGTTCACATTACATAATGTCACATGGCTAGTCAAATATTCCAAAATGTCTAACAAATTCAATATAGTTTATGCTGTATAAATGTATTGGTCTATAGATACCCAACATGATAACTAATATGTACAGGGCCCTTAACATCACCCATTCCAAGGAGGCCACCTAAGTTTTCATATATATATATTACTGGAGTGTCAAGAGTAAAGGGCATCTTAGGTCAATAAAAAAACCAGGGCATTCGTCAAATAACAAAGTTTCTACGAGCTGAATCTGCTGGGGTATATGTCTTTGGAAACCCCTATCAAATGACAGATTATCTACTGGATTCATCAGAATTACAAATATATCATTTTAAAAGATAATAAAAAGTATGACAAATTTAATATCATCAATATTTGAGTGTAATTTTTCAGATAATAAGTCCATCCGTGGGCTCATTTTCAAGGTCTCCACTGACACCATCCAGAGCCTCCCTCCTCACATTTGCACAACTGATGGATTGGGTGGCATTTTGTGCATGTTACTTTAGGGAGGAAGGAGAGGAGAATGTGGTGACATGAAGAATATGAGCAAGAAAAACAATCTAGATCTACATGATAATCAAGAGCAAGATTTGGAGTTGTGATACGTGTGTCATTTGAATTTTCAATCTTCTTTATTATTTTGAGAAATTAAGTAGTTCTGAAATCTCTGCTCGAGGCCTTGTCCAATAATCCCAAGTGGGAGGAAGCTCACCCACCGCCATCCCAGGCTCCTAGGGCAATGAAGCTCAGCGGGTCCCAGCACCCAGAAGGAAGCTCCCCACCTCCATCCCAGCTCCTAGGGCAGTGAAGCTCAGCCAGTCCCAGCACCCAGAAGGAAGATCCCCACCTCCATCCCAGGCTCCTAGGGCAGAGAAGCTGAGCCAGTTCCAGCACCTGGAAGGAAGCTCCCCTGCTGCCATCCCAAGCTCCTGGGGCAGAGAAGGTGAGCCGCGTGGGCGCCAAAAGCACCCCTCCCCCCCGTGGAAATGAGAAGACACATAAACAAGCCTCAAAAACAGACTTCTGGATCACCTACAGCAACCCCAAAGGGAAACGACATGGAACACTCTGATACTCAAGCACCTGGACTCTCTGAACTGGCAACAAAAGAGGATCTGGGAAAAGTGAAATCAGAAATAATTACTCAGATAACAGCAAAGATTTTGCTCATGGTGCAAGGCATGATTAATAAATCTAGAGAGGACACAGATAAA